GCTGGCTGCCCTACTTCTCCTTTCACCTGTACTCAGCTCTGGCCTCTAGCCCTCCAGCCACGCTGGCCCCCCTGGAGGAGGTGGTCACCTGGATTGGCTATTTCTGCTTCACCTCCAACCCCTTCTTCTACGGCTGTCTGAACCGGCAGATCCGCGAGGAGCTGGGCAAGCATGTGCCTTGCCTGTTCCGCCGGGCAATGGGAGAGGAGGACCGACTGCCCAGCCGTGAGGGATCCATAGAGGAGAATTTCCTGCAGTTCCTCCAGGGCACTGGCTGCAACCGGGATCCCCAGGACTCCCACAGCACCTCCAGCCCCAAGGGAGAGGCCTGCCGGACCCTGGCCCAGCCGCCTCAGTCCCCACAGCCCATACCCATTGACTTCCGCATCCCAGGACAGATTGCAGAGGAGACCTCAGAGCTCCTTGAGCATCACCAGATTAAAAACAACCATATCATATCGGACAGTTAGGTTATGTATTTATTTTATGTAAAAACCAACACAAAAAGTAACCAGGATAAAAATTACCACAGTAACATAATCACACTCTGGTATATGTCACAGAGTATTAAGATACAATGTTTTGATCTGTTCTCTTTTAACATTTTATTCTTAACAATAAAAAGCTGTGCAATGGGAAATTTAGATTTTTTTCTAAAGTCCATATTGTCCTGAATCGCATTTTGCAGCTTCACTTTCTATTCTGTAAAGGCTGCAATGCTATGGAATTGATCTTCTTTGTGTAATGTTCCTATTGGAGTATACAACAACTAATTGATTGTGGGTCGTGGCATTTCTGGGGAGAAAGACAAATGGCACAACTGCAGCTGCAGAGAATCTGACAGGTTAATATTGCCAGTGATGCCGATATTGGTGTTGTTTGTTAGGGAATTCGTTTTAGAGATGTAATTCTTTACTTTTTTTTACTTCACAATGCATTGATAGGGTCAGTATGTTATTAATACAGATGTATTATATCTTCTGAGATTTTCCTTTTGGATTTCAAACCAAACAAGCCCTTGAGCAAAGAGGCTGTTAGAGTCTGTCAGCTGTCTTTCCTTCGATAAGCCTACCTTAAACTATATCAGGTTTTATGACTTTCAGAAGACATCCACAAATAATATATCATTGAGCCAAACACATCTGATATTTGATACTGTTAGATCATTTACTTTTGAGGAATTGATGTATGACTGAGCTTATTTACGTAAGCTGCAGAATAAAGAAACCAATATTGGAGTGCAGGAAGTCATGCCTGAAAATATTTACATATTCCTGACCCCTTTACCTCTGTAAAATATCATTAAACAGATGTATAGTAGACAGTGAGTGAATGGTCACTATATCCCTACGATAAAGATACTGTAAGTTGTGACTTTTAGAGATGATGAAAGAGCTACAGTACTGTAATTGTGCCCTGGTTGTGAGGTTGAGGCACGTAGGCAGTAAGAAGTACCATGGGGCAGCCACCTGTTGTTGATGGGTAAACCTCTGGGCAGATACCCCCCTCTCTCTGGTGCTTTTCCTGAACACATCATCTGTGTTTTCCCATAAGCAGGCCAGGTTTATTGTGACCACAGTTAGGATGTAGGCAATCTTTTCCTTACTCATCCTGAACTACTTCTGGTCTGTTAGAAAAGTACATTTATTTATCATCTATCTACCGTTTAGATAGTAGTTGACATGGGCAGGTGTTCAATACGTTGGCAGATGTTCAGTTAAGGCAGGAGTATTTTTGTTAATTGATGCGCTACATTACATTTCTATACAATTAGATTTTTATAGTTGTTGTTTTACAAATGTAGCTGTATTTTATGTTTGATAAAACCTGATAGTGAGTTCAACTCTACAACTTTTAAACATTTTATTGTTGATTATTATTAGGTATTATTGATTACTGTATATTTTGTGATTAATTAACAAAATACAATGGTGTATTCAAATGGTATACAGTAACTGTCTTTTCAATATGTGTTGATTAGCTGTGGCGCAACAGGTTGGAGAATATAATAAACCAATTATATTTTACAGTGCAGCTCCTCAGGGTTCTCTACCTCAGATACAATATTGACTTCATTTGCAGGTCAGCACACAATGTACACATAGAAAAGATATGGTGTAAGTCATGCCACATATTTTTAACTATATGCTCCCTGGGTTGCTTTCCTTCTTCAGCTGGACAAGGACAGACTGACAAAAGCTGTCCTCATGTGGCTTTGTCTGAGAGACTTGATACAACGCCTGCTTCACGTCTACTCTCTGTGGTGTCACATTGTGAGGGGATTTAGAATTGTTTGAGCTGTCCAGAACAGTACTGGCCAATTTGAGGTATCAGCCTTGTTAAAACATATATGGATTGTGCAAGAGTACAAAAGTAAAGTTATTTATTTCCTTTCTGGCTTCTGACTTGTTTATTGATTGGTTTAACAAATAAATGTATGCCATCTTTATATTTTGTAAAACTGCTCTACTTTATGTTTGTTTGTGTGCAGGATTTGTTAACCTTGGTCTCTCCATTAAGAAAGTTATTTGGGATGGCTCATCTCTATTTCCATTAGCTGCTGGGTGGAACAGTACTATAGTTCACTGTATATGGTTGGTGCCCCTCACTGCTTTGATATACCATTGAAAGAGGGGGAAAGATGCAGTTCAAATACTCTAACCCCGGGGTGACATTTTAACTTCAAAGTTGGAGCCATTGATCTGACCTTCAGGTAAAAGAAAGGAGAAAAACAGTCACAACAAAGGGCACGATGGATACTTTCACATTTCACTCATTATATTATGAGAGTAGTGGATAGACAGAAAGAGAAGAGAATGTAGGTGTAGGACAGGGTTTACCAGCTTAGGACAAATACATGCTGTTGAAATAATCAGCAGTGACACAATTTACAGTGTAGAACAATAATGTATTATTCTTCAGTTGAAATTCACTAGAGTAAATGCACAAGTAAACTCCTACCCCTAAATTCCAACAGATACATCTGACTATGTTCAAGAGGTGTAATACTATGCATGAAATGCCCTGTCGTTTCTTTTACAACCATCTTGCTGCTTTTTGCACATAGTACATTTATGTTGAATCTCAACAGGCCTCCCTTCACACCTCCTCCTCAGCAAAGGCCCTCCGTAAAACCAGCCCCAGCTTCTCCAGGCTCTGCCATTCCCATGGCAACATATAACCACTGACATTTCGTATGATATGTTACGAATTCCAATTTGTTGTGGCTAACTTTAGCTAGATGGCTAGGTGGCTAATGCTAACGTTAGCTGGGTGGCTAACGTTAATGGTTAGGGGTTAAGGTTTGGATTAAGGTTAGGAGTTAGGTTAAAGGGTTAAGTTTAGGGGAAGGGCTAGCTAACATGCTAAGTAGTTGCAAAGTAGCTAAAAAGTAGTAAATAGTTGCAAAGTTGCTAAAATGCTAATGTTGTCCCAGTTCTTCCATGGCCTGCATACTCACCAGACATGTCACCCATTGAGCATGTTTGGGATGCTCTGGATCTGCGTGTACGACAGCGTGTTCCAGTTCCCGCCAATAACCAGCAACATCGCACAGCCATTGAAGAGGAGTGGGACAACATTCCACAGGCCACTATCAACAGCCTGATAAACTCTATACAAAGGAGATGTGTCACGCTGCATGAGGCAAATGGTGATCAGACACTGACTGGTTTTTGGATCCACTCCTCTATCTTTTTCTTTTTTTTACCAACAGATGCATATCTACAGTATATTCCCAGTCATGTGAAATCCATAGATTAGGGCCTAATGAATTTATTTCAATTGACTGATTTACTTATATGAACTGTAACTCAGTAAAATCTTTGAAATTGTTGCATGTTGCGTTTATATTTTTGTTCAGTGTAGTAAACCTGTAGCTCAGTTGGTAGAGCATGGCGCTTGCAACGCCAGGGTTGTGGGTTTGATTCCCACGGGGGGCCAGTATGAAAAATGTATGCACTCACTAACTGTATGTCGCTCTGGATTAGAGCGTCTGCTAAATGACTAAAATGTAAATGTGAACCAGTTCTGCTAGATTCTAGTACATCATGGATCTAATCCAGGGTTTTATAACCTTTTTCGATCAAGGGCCCACTGAAACGCATTCAAACAATCTGGGGACCACCTTTTGGTCTAGCTGCTGTAATTTTCAATGTGTTCGTTTTATGCTTTTTCAGGGACCCCTGAAAGCTCTCAGTCCTCCTAAGCCATGTGGTTGAGAATCACCGTAATCGATTACTGATAGATTTGGACTTCATTTCCCATCAGACCCAGCAATTATTTTCCTTGATTTCCGCGTCACATGACCCTGAGAGTCAAATGTTTTGCTCATCTCATCTGCAAGCTTGCATTATAGTAGGGCCAGACATTTTCAATTGTTAACAAAATAATAGTTAACAGCCAGTAGTATTTAGAAGTGTGTGAGTATTTTTAGTCAGTTTAGGGTGTTGAGATTGTATTTATTTTTAGTGAAGTTTTAACTCACGATATCCAGCAAAAAAGTTTTACTTTTCAAGCCAACCTGACGCGGAAAGAACTTAAAGCTACAGTTAGCTAGTAACTTTAGCTACCAAAACGGACATTTTCTAGCTACCTAATTAAGTTAATTTGGTAACTAGTTACTTTCATCGTATGCATTTTGAACATTGTTGCTCTTCAATCAAAACGTTAAGTATTCGGCTTCCTAGCAAGCTACATGACATGTACATAGTAAAAGCTAACATTTGCTAGCTTGCTGGCCAACGCCTTTTTCCCCTTCCTTTTTTTCCTCATGCTCGTCGTCGCACACATGTAGTTTGAAAATGTGTCGTAGTTAACATGGACCAGATTTCTGCTGCAAGCGTTTGACAGACACAACAATACAATTTTGTAGCTAGAATTAGAATGTCATCCCTTCCTTTTTACTGAACGTTTTTTCCATTTGGATAACTTGTCAAAAGCCAGGTAGCTTTCTAGCTTTACATTATCATAGTAGTTAGGATTTACCTGCTGGGATCAAAATGGGTTGTACACTAAGTGCCGAAGATAAAGCTGCAATGGAGAGGAGTAAAATCATTGACCGGAATCTGAGAGAATCTGGCGAAAAGGCTTCAAGTGAAGTCAAACTGTTGCTTCTAGGTAAGTGTTCCTATGCTACTGACATTGGTAGTATCTAAATGATATGAGGTCTGAAGAGGGTGTCTGTCTAACTGATCGAATTACTTTTATGTAGGGCTCATGACTATCTGGCAATGGTGGAACCTACTTCTTTGCTCAAATGAAAGCTGTCATGATCATTCAGTCTTCCACAGACTGCGTGAAAATTCCTTCAGCTTTCATGCTCATGGTGTAGCCTAATGTTTTTATTTTACATTCTCAGACCAGGTGCAAAGGCCCCAAAACAGTAGGGGGGGTGTAGAACTTTCACAGATGGAATCAGCTGGTTCTGAGCACTGACTGCATGTTTGTTATATCTCTACACATTTAGTAGAGTTAAGAGTTTGAAACTTTCTTCCTGATTTTATGGCTCCTCTCTTTCCCACTAAACTTTACACTTCAAGGTGCTGGGGAGTCTGGGAAGAGCACAGTTGTAAAGCAGATGAAGTGAGTACATATTTCAACAGTTTTGTGCACACCCCCAAAACAGTTAAAAAACTAGCATGCTTTTTATTGATTAGGAACACTTATGAAGTGATGAATCAGTTAGGAGCCTTTGAGATGTTATCTAGATTAGATGTTGACCACAAGCACCAGTAAGATGGGCATGTTAACCTCCTCTTCCTACCCTCAGAATCATCCATGAGGATGGCTACACACAGGACGAGTGTAGCCAGTACAGGGTTGTGGTTTACAGCAACACCATCCAGTCCATCATCGCCATCATCAGAGCAATGGGCAGGCTCGGTATTGACTTTGGGGACCCAGCAAGATCAGTGAGTCAGCTTGAAGGTTTTCTTACATTTCAGTGGTCTTATAACAATGTATAGTTTACTACTGCTTTTTCCCCTTTGTAAAATGCCACAGCAAGTGTTGTTTCTCTTTATGTTATGACTACAAGGAATTACGAACTTTACAAGAACAGTGTACAGAATGATCCACTGGCTGCAGTGACATTCCATTCCAACATGGATGGTCAACATGTGAAGTAAATCACTTGAAAGCTGATTCTGCACCTAACATGTTGATTTGGGAGTGACATTTTTCTGTTGTCATGCTGTTCCCACGAGGATGAGAGCTGTCAGAATTGTTGTTTCCTTTTTGTAACTGTGTTTGCTTGGCTGTGTCTCCAGGATGATGCCCGCCAGCTCTTTACCTTGGCCAGCTCTGCAGAGGAAGGGGTCATGACCCCTGAACTGGCTGGGGTCATCAAGAGGTTATGGCAGGATGGAGGGGTCCAGATCTGCTTCGGCAGGTCCAGAGAGTACCAGCTCAACGACTCAGCCTCATAGTAAGAGCATTACAAATCTCTGCCCTAAAACTGCTTGAATCAAGTATTATAACGACCAGAGAACCATAGTGAATGATATTGTCTTGCACACTTGGCCATCCTCAAACAGGAGAAGCGAGGCACTTGCTTGTCTGTAATCCAGATTACTGTGAGAGCTCTTATGTGACATGTTCATCAGGAGGCTGCTGGCCTAATACACTGACAGGTTTTTCTGTTTTCCACTGTCTCTATTGGGATCTTGAAAGCATATACATTTACATTTTAGTCATTTAGCAGACGCTCTTATCCAGAGCGACTTACAGTTAGTGTGTGCATACATTATTTTTTTATTTTATTTTTCATACTGGCCCCCCGTGGGAATCGAACCCACAACCCTGGCGTTGCAAACGCCATGCTCTACCAACTGAGCTACATCCCTGCCGGCCATTCCCTCCCCTGTCCTGGACGACGCTGGGCCAATTGTGCGCCGCCCCATGGGTCTCCCGGTCGCGGCCGGCTACGACAGAGCCTGGATACGAACCAGGATCTCTAGTGGCACAGCTAGCACTGCGATGCAGTGCCTTAGACCACTGTGCCCCTCGCCACATATAGGCTTAATGCTTTTCAAAAAATGTACTATATTCTGAACAGGCTATAATAAGCATGCACAGTTAGTTAGGAGGATGCTGTGGAGCGTAGCCATCCACACCAAGCCAATGAGAGAGAATGAAGAAACTATTTTGCCCATCTAAATAGCCGTAGAGTGGTGAGATGAGGGCCCTTAATTAGCTCACTTCATTGTTCACCCAGATCCTTATTGGTGAGGAGTGTGCAATCAGGCTATTATAAGGTCTGAGTATCACGCTCCTGTTGATAGCATTTTAGTGAGTGTGTTAGTTCACGAAAGGCTTTTATTTTTTGCTGGGGGGGTACTCTTTGAAGAGGTAGAGTTTCAGATGTTTTTGGAAGCTTCAGGGGGAGCTTCAGGGGGAAGCTGGTGCCAGGACAGATAAGGACAGATAAGAGCTTGGACTAGACTGAGCGGGAGCTGACCCCCGTAGGGGTGGGAGGGCCAAGAGACCAGAGGTGGCAGAACGGAGTGCTCGGGTTGGGGTGTAGGGTTTGCGCATAGCCTGAAGGTAGGGAGGGGGAGTTACTGTCACAATGGGTCAGGCCATAGGCCAAGTGTAACAATAAAATATAGTTAAGGATTAATATTTTATGAAAAATGTTTTTAGACCAGGAAAAAGTCCCCTGTTGCTAGATAAGTTTGCTAGGTACGAATGATTTCCCAGAAACCGACTCCTAGTTTGAGACATGTCTGACTCCTCTGATACCAGTGCGGACATGAAAGGAGGAACCCTGTGATAGACTGCTGTTGTTGTGCAACACTGCTGAAGCAATAGAGACGGGGACAGGGGAAGTTCCAGGCCCTGAAGGCAGAAACAGGTTGCCATTAGGGCCAGGACAATACCAGTATCTGGGGGGAAAATGATATGGCAAAAATTAAAACACGAAGCAGACAACTCTTTGGTCCTTTAAAAACCTGCTGTATGCTAAATATTGTGTGCTATAGGTTGGAAAATAAATAAATGTGACTCTGGATGACAACATGTTTGTTTCCAACATAAATCCGCTTTGTGTTTTGTTTCCTTGCCGTGATACTAACGAGTACCACGATACTGGTATGGTCCCGGCCCTAGTTGCCGTCACTTTTATTTATTTAGGAAAAACTGGAGTTTTCGGGATTCGAGACAGACAATGTGATTACAAGCTCTCTTGAGTTGTTTTGGGAATCATTTCTTTGTTTACTTTATATTCCTCCATATTGGCTTTAGTTGTTCACGTGTATTGTTGTTCGCATCCATGGTTGATCCAATACCAGAACTTCCATTTACATGTCTTGGCTCACCAATTTGAAACCGCATTATCCAACAATTGGCAAGTAGTAGTGTTTTTAAATAACTTTTTACGTTAAGTCAGCCTCCTCCTCTTTCTCCTCAGTTACCTGAATGACTTGGACAGGATATCCCAGCAGAACTATGTGCCCACGCAGCAGGATGTCCTGCGGACAAGAGTCAAGACCACCGGCATCGTGGAGACACACTTCACATTCAAGGACCTCTACTTCAAGTCCGTAACCTGTTAATACAGCACTCCGTGCACTGACACTAATAATCACTGAGTCACTTTGTCCCTACAGTTAATGATTCACTAATGTAAAAAAGCCCAAAGCTGCTCGTACATCACCCTAGTGACCACATCATACTGTAGGTGTGTTTCTGTCTTTCTCACTACCTCTCATACCCTTTTTTTTTTATGTCCTGTCTTTTTCTCACTTCATGTCTCTGACTCTCCCTGGCTGCAGGATGTTTGATGTGGGGGGTCAGAGGTCAGAGAGGAAGAAGTGGATCCACTGCTTTGAGGGAGTCACAGCCATCATCTTCTGTGTGGCGCTCAGTGACTATGACCTGGTGCTGGCTGAGGATGAGGAGATGGTGAGTGGGAAAGGGCATCAACTCTAAATCTATAGTCCTGTGGTATTTACAAGGTTGTTGCAGTATATAAAGTCTTATCAAAAGGGATTGCATAACAGTTTCACCCACACACAGACCCTGACACTGCTCATCTCTCCATAGAACCGTATGCACGAGAGCATGAAGCTATTTGACTCCATCTGCAACAACAAGTGGTTCACGGGCACCTCCGTCATCCTCTTTCTCAACAAGAAGGATCTGTTTGAGGACAAGATCCAGAAGAGCCCACTCACTATCTGCTACCCAGAGTACTCAGGTATACATTCTTTGACATTTTAAAGATATACAGGTTATTTAGGAATCAGCCACTACAGAACAGCACACAACATAATTTCCTGTTGGATTATTAACCACAGTGGAGAGCATTTGCACATAATGGATTCTTGTTAATTGAGATGTCTGAGTAATACCGCTTGAAATATTAGCTTGTGCAATATGGGAGGAGCCTCAGGACACACTTTGGTAAAGCAGGAAATGAAAGTTTAGCAAGTGTTTAGTCCATAATAGGAAATTACTAGTTTGCTCAACGCAGTGTATTGAGTCATACCTATTTTGCATGTCCTTTGAGAATAAGTGCATAAATGAGATAGAAAACATATTCCTCTCCACTACTCTAGGTCCAAACGCATACAAAGAGGCGTCAACCTACATTCAGTGTCAGTTTGAAGACTTGAACAAGCGGAAGGATACAAAGGAGATCTACACCCATTTCACTTGTGCTACTGACACTAAGAACGTGCAGTTTGTCTTTGACGCTGTCACTGATGTCATCATCAAAGCCAGCCTGAAGGAGGTTGGCTTGTACTGAGACTCCTGCAACATCTGTCTGTCATCATAGGGGTGGGAGTGTGTTGGAATCCTCTCACGCATTTACAAGTGGGAATCGCTCATTGCCATTTTGACAGACCACAACTATGATTGGCTATTGGAAAGGTTGTGTTTGAACTGCAGAAGTAGGCTGCAGAGTACAGAGGATGGGTTGTTAGACCATATACTGTTGCCATAATGTATGATGAATCCTTGGATATTTCAAGACAAGATTACATAGGGCACTAATGTGCCTTTGCTTTTCTATACTTTTGCTGTTATGGATTTCATAGCTATGGACTCACTTTTAAAGTTGTGAGTGTTGGATTTTCCTCATGTTTTTGAATGTTATTGCCAAATTTCTATCAAATACCTTTCAAACATTCTGCACTTTTTAGGCTTTCAGCATTCACTTTAAAGGGTTAAAAGGTATTAGTTACATTGTAAATGTTGAATAAGGTATCACAATTTGTATTTTCTGAGAGTTTTGATAACTGTCTTTATAACTAAGTATTTTTTAAAAGTATAAATGGTCATTGTCGTGTCCACTAGTTTTTAAAAGTATTTTATTATCTCTTGGTAATGTTAATATGCTGAATTGTTATTGTTTTAATTCATCACTATTCAGATCGTTACATAACACTTAAGTAGTTTACTGGCTGTAAACCAACTGTAAGAGATTCATTTTCAAATCATGACATCACTTAATGTTTTTAAAACCTTTAAAGAATAAGCTTTTGTAATGGTTGCCTTGACTTGGATTATGTTGCCTATTTTCTTTTGATTATCTTTGTATATAACTATTTGTATAAAGATTATGGCCTTTCACTAAATGGCCTTATTAGAAACTAAAAGTATTTGCCATTGAAATTCCCCTCTTGAAAACGTGCTCCTTTTTATGTTAATCACATTGCCATTTGGACATTTAACATGAATGTTCCTTTGATTAAAATTGAATGTGGGCCAAACTTGTCTATAATTATTCAATAGTAATTATCATAAGATTGTGAAAGAGTTATTGTACCAGTGATTCTCATGCAGTGCATTCGGAAAGTATTCAGACCCCTTGACTTTTTCCACATTTTGTTACGTTACAGTCTTATTCTTAAATAGATTAAATTGTTTTTTTCCCTCATCAATCTACACACAATACCCAATAACAACAAAGCAAAAACAGGTTCTTAGATCCCCCCCCCCCGAAATATCACATTTACAGAAGTAATAATAATAATAATAAGCCATTTAGCAGACGCTTTTATCCAAAGCGACTTAATGTGTGCATACATTTTTACATATGGGTGGTCCCGGGGATCGAACCCACTACCCTGGCGTTACAAGCGCCATGCTCTACCAATTGAGCTACAGAGGACCACAGAAGTATTCAGACCCTTTACTCACTACTTTGTTGAAGCACCTTTGGCAGCGATTACAGCTCAAGTCTTCTTGGGTATGACTCTACAAGCTTGGCACATCTGTATTTGGGGAGTTTCTCCCATACTTCTCTGCAGATCCTCTAAAGCTCTGTCAGGTTGGCTGGGGAGTGTCGCTGCACAGCTATTTTCAGGTCTCTCCAGAGATGTTCAATCGGGTTCAAGTCCAGGCTCTTGCTGGGCCACTCAGAGACGTGTCCCGAAGCCACTCCTGCTTTGTCTTGGCTGTGTGCTTAGGGTCGTTGTTTTGTTGGAAGGTGAACCTTCACCCCAGTCTGAGGTCCTGAGTACTCTGGATCAGGTTTTCATCAAGGATCTCTATGTACTTTGCTGAGTTCATCTTTCCCTCAATCCTGACTAGTCTCCCAGTCCCTGCCGCTGAAAAACATTCCCACAGCATGATCCTCTGTAGCTCAACTGGTAGAGCACGGCGCTTGTAACGCCAAGGTAGTGGGTTCGATCCCCGGGACCACCCATACACAAAAATGTATGCACGCATGACTGTAAGTCGCTTTGGATAAAAGCGTCTGCTAAATGGCATATTATTATTATTATTATTATGATGCTGCCACCACCATGCTTCACCATAGGGATGGTGCCAGGTTTCCTCGAGACGTGACGCTTGGCATTCAGGACAAAGAGGTCAATCTTGGTTTCATCAGACCAGAGAATCTTGTTTGTCATGGTCTGAGAGTCCTTTAGGTGCCTTTTGGCAAACTCCATGCGGGCTGTCATGTGCCTTTTACTGAGGAGTGGCTTCCGTCTGGCCACTCTACCATAAAGGCCTGATTGGTGGAGTGCTGCAGAGATGGTTGTCCTTCTGGAAGGTTCTCCCATATCCACAGAGAACCTCTGGAGCTCTGTAAGAGTGACCATCGGGTTCTTGGTCACCTCCCTGACCAAGGCCCTTCTCCCCCGATTGCTTAGTTTGGCCGGGCGGCCAGCTCTAGGAAGATTCTTGGTGGTTCCAAACTTCTTCCATTGAAGAATGATGGAGGCCACTGTGTTCTTGTGGACCTTCAATGCTGCAGAAATGTTTTTGTACCCTTCCCCAGATCTGTGCCTCGACACAATCCTGTCTCGATGCTCTACGGACAATTCCTTCGACCTCATTGCTTGGTTTTTGCTCTGACATGCACGGTCAACTGTGGGACCTTATACACACAGGTGTGTACCTTTTCAAATCATGTCCAATCAATTGAATTTACCACAGGTGGACTCCAATCAAGTTGTAGAAACATCTCAAGGATGATCAATGGAAACAGGATGCACCTGAGCTCAATTTCGAGTTTCATAGCAAAGGGTCTGAATACTTATGTAAATAAGGTATTTCTTCGCAAAAATTCCTAAAAATCTGTTTTCGCTTTGTCATTATGGGGCATTGTGTGTAGATTGATCAGTGAAAAAATATTTAATCCATTTTAGAATAAGGCTGTAACGTAACAATGTGGAAAAAGTCAAGTGGTCTGAATACTTTCCGAATGCACTGTATAGTGTCATATAAATGTGTTTGTTTGCATTGTGTATCTCTGAGTCAGTGGTTGACAGCACAACACCATTCCACCTACAATGGGGGTTATTTCATACAATACATTAATTAAAGGCTAAAAGTCACATCACACATCTTGATAAAAAATACAAAGATTGATGACATGCAGAAATTGAAGTTTCTATGTCGATTTTTATTTTGAATGTCTATCTTTCGCAAGACCGGTCAGAGTTACATGTTCAATTGTAAATAGTCAAAATGAAATATACATATACATCACTAAACATGTCACTGATGTTGAACATTTTGATACGTATTTGAATATTAATATATATAAGGTCTACTATTGTATTTACAAAATACGTTGCTAACTTGTTTTGAGGGTACTTTTTCTTAAATTCCAGTTTAGACCTGGCTATTTGAACTCACTGATTGGAATTAGCTAAATATTTTTTTTTTTACTGTGTTACATCTGGTGCAAAACAGTAGGCATATCCAAACAGAGTTCTAATTTGAGATACTTAGAACTAGATAAAAACATAAATCATGGGGCAAGAGCAATATTACTGGAAAGGACTTCACTCTGACCATGTTGAGTAAAATGGATCACCTCAAAACATATCCTTTCATAAGTTTATCAATTGGAGTCCATGAGCAGCTTTGGACACTTTCCTCAACACAAACCCATCATACAGAGCCAGAAATCATTCAGAATAACAAAGTACCTATATTAAACATATGTTAATTCTGCTGTTCTTCTGACTTCTTATCCTAATTTCCATCTAAAGGACATCATCATCCACATTGTCTCCGGGAGGGACATGTTGCCATCTTTGGAGTAAATTGGTTGCTGTTTCCTAGTATTTGCATTCATTAGTCATCATTTAGGGTGTTAGGAAGGAAGGGAAGGAATAGTCTAGAATTGAAGGGTCTGAAGAGTCTTATGCCATTACAAAGCCTTCTGTTGTGCATTCTGTTCCTACTGCTCAACTTCAACATGAATCCAAGTGAAGGGATGAGGGGGAAAATAACATCTGCGAGGAAGAAAAAAAACATTTAGGCGAAACAATAACCACATATAATCATAAAAGAACAATAAGATGCTGAATTCCAAATCGAAACACCTACCCTTGAGCCACTTTAAATCTGAAAGAATTGGATGGGTGTATCCAACATGGCAAAAATGTCACCTTGTCTGTCTGAGGCAAGTCTATTATCTGAGCCTTCCAAATATACTAGAAGTGTCAATGTGTACAGGCTAGGTGTCAATGTGGGTTACAAGAACAGACAAATAGATAACTACTGCACCTTTTTTGTGTATCTGCTTAGAACAGACCACAAGATTTTAGGTTCTCTTTGATAATGATGTCTGTCACGGCTCCGAACACAATCTCAACGTTCTTTGTGTCCGTGGCGCAGGTCAAGTGAGAGTAGATTTCTTTGACACCCTTCTTCATGTTCAGCTCCTCAAACTGCTTCTTGATGTAGTCGCTGGCATCATCATACGTGTTGGGGCCTAGTGGCAGAGTAAGCAGGCAGCTCATGAAGCGGTTCTCATTTGTTTTCAATTGTAGGTGATGAAATTGACAGTATATATTATGTCGTCTAGTATCTTGCCACTGCATCATATTGCAGTAGAAGACACAAAACATTTCCATAATTCCTGTCCTTGGGAAATCGTGCACTGTTTTACTATGCTGTTTTTAATTGTGGTTACTCTTACCATCATAGTCTGGGAAGCAGATGCTGAGGTGGACCTTCTTGATCTTCTCCTCGAAGAGATCCTTCTTGTTAAGGAAGAGCACGATAGAGGTGGTGGCGAAGAACCTGTGGTTGCAGATACTGTTGAACAAGTGGAGAGACTCATGCATACGGTTCTGTGGAGAAGAGGAGAAGGAGTGTTAGGTTAAGTGCCACCAATCTCACAGTTTCTTTCATCAATCCTCAGGCTAGATTAGTATACTAACTAAACAAAAATATAAACACAACATGCAACAATTTCAACGATTTTACTGAGTTGCAGTTCATAAGGAAATCAGTCAATTGAAATAAATTCATTAGGCTCTAATCTATGGATTTCACGACTGGGAATATAGATATGCATCTGTTGGTCACAGATACCTTTAAAAAAAAAGGTACAAGCATGGATCAGAAAACCAGTCAGTATCTGGTGTGACCACCATTTGCCTCATGCAGCACGACACATCTCCTTCGCATAAAGTTGATCAAGCTGTTGATTGTGGCCTGTGGAATGTTGTCCCACTCCTCTTCAATGGCTGTGCAAAGTTGCTGGATATTGGCGGGAACTGGAACACACTGTCATACACGTCGATCAAGAAAAATAATTAATAATAATAATAGTTTCAAAAACAAAAAAAATTAAAGAATCAATGGGTGACATGTCTGGTGAGTATGCAGGCCATGGAAGAACTGGGACATTTTCAGCTTCCAGGAATTGTGTACAGATCCTTGCGACATGGGGCCGTGCATTATCATGCTGAAACATGATGTGATGGCGGTGGATGAATGGCATGACAATGGGCCTCAGGATCTTGCCACGATATCTCTGCATTTAAATTGCCATCGATAAAATGCAATGGTGTTTGTTGTCCGTAGCTTATGCCTGCCCATACCATAACCCCACTGCCACCATGGGGCACTCTGTTCACAACCTTGACATCAGCAAACCACTCGCCCACACGACGCAATACACGTGGTCTGCGGTTGTGAGGCCGGTTGGACGTACTGCCAAATTATCTAAAACGACGTTGGAGGCGGCTTATGGTAGAAAAATGAACATTCAATTTTTTGGCAACAGCTCTGGTGGACGTTCCTGCAGTCAGCATGCCAATTGCATGCTCCCTCAAAGCTTGAGACATATGTGGCATTGTGTTGTGTGACAAAACTGCACATTTTAGAGTGGCCTTTTATTGTCCCCAGCACAAGGTGCACCTGTGTAATGATCATGCTGTTTAATCAGCTTCTTGATATGCCACACCTGTCAGGTGGATGGATTATCTTGGCAAAGGAGAAATGATAACTAACAGGGATGTAAACAAATTTGTGCAAGAAAAAAGCTTTTTGTCCGTATGAAACATTTCTGGGATCTTTCATTTCAGTTCATGAAACATGGGACCAACACATTACATGTTACGTTGATATTTCTGTTCAGTATATACTCCAAACCAAGTGCCAAATTAATTCCTCGGAGGGCCGAGTGTCTGCGGGTTTTCGCACCACCCTTGTACTTGATTGATTAATTAAGGTGACTAATTAGTAAGGAACTCCCCTCACCTGGTTGTCTAGATCTTAATTGAAAGGAAAAACCAAAAACCCGCAGACACTTGGTCCTCCTCCGTGGAATGAGTTTGACACCTCTGCTCTAAACCAAAGAGATTATCTAATTTCCTATCTTGGGCCTTTGGCAAGCACACAAACACAACTCTACATGTCTTCTGTGCTTGAACTGGGGGTGGTGGTATCAGGCACAGGACTGTGAGGTGATTGAGCAATCATATTGTGCAGACATCTGAGCTATGTCCTTGGGGAGTTTAACGTGATGGGCTAGTAGGGTTCTGTAACCTTGTCCGTTGTTTACTTTGAAGTCAGACTGGAGAAAATACCCTTCAGTTAGAATGAGAACTTCTGATACTCTTACAATCTTACCAAATGGATCACAGCATAAAAAAGAGAAATCCAAGTAAACTGTACAAAAGTACAACATTTGGACAAGAAGGGCCACATAGAGGCGTTCTGTCTCGATATAGAAAATCACAACTGTGACAAACTAGTGGAACTATCAGAGGTCAACTGTAGAACCAAACCCACCACTTCATCGTCCTCTACGAGCACCATGTCATAAGCACTGAGGGCTCCGCAGAAGATGATGCAGGTCACACCCTCAAAACAATGGATCCACTTCTTTCTCTCCGACCGCTGGCCGCCCACATCGAACATTCTGTCAAATGAGATGGGTTAAAGAAGTGAGATGTTAGATATGACTGTACAGAGATAATCGACGATTGTGCAAAATCACAACCCAGAGGAAAGGGAATGAACATGCAAGGATGTATGGGAGACCACTCAGTTGGCCCCTTGTGGTCTCCCATGTTTGGCTAATGTTCCCTCACCTGAAGTGCAGCTCTTTGCAGGAGAACTGCTCCTCGATAATACCGGTGGTCTTGACTCGAGAACGCAGCACATCCTGCTCGTTGGGCAGGTAATCAGACTTTGTGATTCTGTCCAATTCTGCAAGGTAGCTGTTGAGTGAGATTTCAGTTTAGCATTTCAATCAATCAAATGTATTTATAAATCCCTTTTTACATCAGCAGATGTCACAAAGTGCTATACAGAAACCCAGCCTAAAACCCCAAACAGCAAGCAATGCAGATGTAGAAGCACAGTGGCTAGGAAAAACTCCCTAGAAAGGTAGGAACCTAGGAAGAAACCTAGAGAGGAACCAGGCTCTGAGGGGTGGCCAGTCCTCTTCTGGCTGTGCAGGGTGGAGATTATAAGAGTACATGGCCATACATTCACACCCCCATATATAACATAATCACACTCACATGTACCAACAAAGATATGACCTGAACTGTCTTAAGAATGATATGACTGTCATAACAGACTATAACAGTTGCTGTGACACTCACTAGCCAGCTGAGTCGTTGAGCTGGTACTCAGCTGCTCTCTCGAAGGAGGCCTGGACACCACTGTCACTCCACAGCCTCTTGATGACGTCAGCCAGCTCAGGGGGCATGGAGCCCTCTTCAATGGAGTCTGACAGGTTGGACAGCTTCTGCCCGTCTTCCTGCATCATGAAGTCAACTGGTGAGTTTTACTGCAACTAAAATTAATTAGCTAAGCTAACAATGTAGTGTTGTTATTTCTATTTGAATAACGTGCAATTACTAAAACTTTTGCTGGTGTCTCAATGTCTATCAGTGTGTGTCATTGAGTGCCTGTTTGGTGGACCAGAAGGGGTTAGAGACGCAGGGTGGGACTTACAGATCCTTTTGGTGATCCAAAGTCAATGGACAGCATCTCCATGCCTCTGATAATGGCCAGAGCAGACTGCAGGATGTTACCATAGATGATCGCCCTGAACTCCAATTGTTCTTCTTTGGTATAACCACCTTGATGGAGAATTCTACCCAACACAAGAGGAAGAAAACAGTTAGAATTGTAATTGCAGTTTAAAATACAACTGACATTATACAATGCTACCAACAACCATTATTGGCCAGAAGAACTAGTACTAGTGTTTTGTTCAGTAGTCATGAAGGGTATATGTAAATTGTAGCTGCCACAATCTATTCTATCATGGTCCATTTTGATTATGAGCCATAAACTTAGTCCATCTTATTGAACACCCAGTTCACACCTTTTAGAGTGATGTTACAGTATTAGGACAAGGTTTGCTTGCATGTGCATGAGGAGGGAGGAGGAATGAGAGATGCAATGTCAATGGTGTTTGTTTTGTTATACTCACTTCATCTGCTTGACAATTGTGCTCTTCCCAGACTCACCAGCACCTGGTAAAACAAAATAAGAAGTAGATAAGTTGCAATTGCTTTCTCATGTACAAACACATCATCATCATTCACCCTGTAGTTGGTTAAAGGGAACCCGAGGGCCAAAACATGACCTAAGCAAAGAGATGTATAATGACAGCACATAGTGAAAGAGGAACCTTGGCAGTTGCCTATCCCCTCCACTGGCACAGATCCAGTCCTCTAGACACACGACATGACAAGCATTCAGTGGTGTTGCAAAAGTTACAGTTGTAGTTCTTTCACAGCTGTTCAATCATGACCTTCTGTTTTGTGTTTAGCTTTGTTTCTGCATGTTGTTGTTGCATTTGTACCATCAGTTTGGCCACAGGCACATCTTATGGGATACTTCCCATTACACACCACATCCACAGCTTGGCCTACCTCTCTGTATGAACTGTAACAACATACTTAGCGGGGGGGGGGGGGGGGGGGGGGGGGGGGGTCAGTAACAGAGAAATCTGAAAAGAGTAAACAAGTACTGGGCCATAGGGCAGACTGGGGTGAGCAGTGAAGTTGTATGTCATAATACCAGTAAGCTAATTTCCCTCTGGGTTTATATCAAACAAGATTGTCGCCACCAGCGGATTTGTTATTCCACACGCCACCTCAAGGGGGCCATCTAAGATTCCTGACTATTTTGAATTGGGCATATGAAAGGGTTTATGGCTAATGTGATTGACATCTGTCCCAATGGTTTAGCAGAAGCCAGTGTCCTTATTAGCTCAGGGCTAAATGGAGGGATTTGAGAAGCCTTGGGTAAGGAGGCCTGGGGTCGAAAGGTCTCTCAGAGGATCGGACGATAAGTAAAGACGTCACTAGGAAGACGTGAGTTTGTGTCGCTCTAACAAGCTCCTGGGATAGTGTGTCCTTCTCTCCCTTGGTTCTTATCCATGAAGGTAGGCCAAAGGGCCTACCTAGACAGGCTGGGGTGGCTGGGCTGTCTCCATAATTGCCCTATTTCGCCATCTCAATATCTCCATGCATAGGTTTATTTTCCCGAAGACAGGCCTGATATTCCTGCAAGTAGGTTGTTCTCCCTAAAGCTAAGTGTGCACAAGCCCATTTCTCCATGCTTCTGACTTATTTTCCCATGTGCAGGCCTATTTCTCCATGCATGGGTGTCACGGTTTCGGGCCGAGGCTGCTCCTCCTCCTTGTTCGGGCAGGTTTCGGCGGTCGTCGTCCCCGGAGTACTAGCTGCCACCGATCTATGTTTCATGTTCGTTTGGTTTTGTCTTGATGTTGTACACCTGTGTCTAGTTAGTCCTCGTTAGTGTCCTATTTAGTTCTCGTTGTGTGTGTTTGGTGTTGTGTGTGATTGCTCTTCTGTTTTGGTGTTCTGAGCTAAGTACTTCCCTCCGTTGTTTGGAGAGGTTTTCGCACATGTTAGTGCGCCTTTTGTTTGACGCCTGTGTGCGCCGTTATTTCGCCTCCGGGCTTATTGTGCTCGTTTACTACGTGAATATTTCACTAAAGTCTTTTGGACTTAGCTTCTGCGTCCTGCGCTTGATTCCTGCACCACACCCACCTTCAGCACCCCTGACAATGGGCCAATTTCTGCCTGAGTTGCCCATTTTCTCCATCCATAGGTGTCAGTGGTTGCACGAGTGTCATCTGGCAATGTCATCCATTGTCTCATTCCCCTGTCTTCTTGACATGTCAGTTATCACAACTTTTTAATTTCCGTAGGATGATTGATTTACAGTGGGGGAAAAAAGTATTTAGTCAGCCACCAATTGTGCAAGTTCTCCCACTTAAAAAGATGAGAGAGGCCTGTAATTGTCATCATAGGTACACGTCAACTATGACAGACAAAATGAGAAAAAAAATCCTGAAAATCACATTGTAGGATTTTTAATGAATTTAGTTGCAAATTATGGTGGAAAATAAGTATTTGGTCAATAACAAAAGTTTCTCAATACTTTGTTATATACCCTTTGTTGGCAATGACACAGGTCAAACGTTTTCTGTAAGTCTTCACAAGGTTTTCACACACTGTTGCTGGTATTTTGGCCCATTCCTCCATGCAGATCTCCTCTAGAGCAGTGATGTTTTGGGGCTGTCGCTGGGCAACACGGACTTTCAACTCCCTCCAAAGATTTTCTATGGGGTTGAGATCTGGAGACTGGCTAGGCCACTCCAGGACCTTGAAATGCTTCTTATGAAGCCACTCCTTCGTTTGGGATCATTGTCATGCTGAAAGACCCAGCCACGTTTCATCTTCAATGCCCTTGCTGATGGAAGGAAGTTTTCACTCAAAATCTCACGATACATGGCCCCATTCATTCTTTCCTTTACACGGATCAGTCGTCCTGGTCCCTTTGCAGAAAAACAGCCCCAAAGCATGATGTTTCCACCCCCATGCTTCACAGTAGGTATGGTGTTCTTTGGATGCAACTCAGCATTCTTTGTCCTCCAAACACGACGAGTTGAGTTTTTACCAAAATGTTCTATTTTGGTTTCAACTGACCATATGACATTCTCCCAATCCTCTTCTGGATCATCCAAATGCACTCTAGCAAACTTCAGACGGGCCTGGACATGTACTGGCTTAAGCAGGGGGACACGTCTGGCACTGCAGGATTTGAGTCCCTGGCGGCGTAGTGTGTTACTGATGGTAGGCTTTGTTACTTTGGTCCCAGCTCTCTGCAGGTCATTCACTAGGTCCCCCCGTGTGGTTCTGGGATTTTTGCTCACCGTTCTTGTGATCATTTTGACCCCACGGGGTGAGATCTTGCGTGGAGCCCCAGATCGAGGGAGATTATCAGTGGTCTTGTATGTCTTCCATTTCCTAATAATTGCTCCCACAGTTGATTTCTTCAAACCAAGCTGCTTACCTATTGCAGATTCAGTCTTCCCAGCCTGGTGCAGGTCTACAATTTTGTTTCTGGTGTCCTTTGACAGCTCTTTGGTCTTGGCCATAGTGGAGTTTGGAGTGTGACTGTTTGAGGTTGTGGACAGGTGTCTTTTATACTGATAACAAGTTCAAACAGGTGCCATTAATACAGGTAACGAGTGGAGGACAGAGGAGCCTCTTAAAGAAGAAGTTACAGGTATGTGAGAGACAGAAATCTTGCTTGTTTGTAGGTGACCAAATACTTATTTTCCACCATAATTCATTAAAAATCCTACAATGTGATTTTCTGGATTTTTTTCTCTCAATTTGTCTGTCATAGTTGACGTGTACCTATGATGAAAATTATAGGCCTCTCTCATCTTTTTAAGTGGGAGAACTTGCACAATTGGTGGCTGACTAAATACTTTTTTCCCCCACTGTACCTCTACCCTCTGTTGCTGCTGCTTCTCTTACTCATGTGAAGGTAAAGCTTTAAGGTATTAACCAGAAGCCTGTCTCTGCAACAAGTGTCTCCATTAATCCATGCTCTATTTGTGCCAAATGGCTGTAAACAATTGCCTCTCTAACTTCCACGTTCGTTTCCCACGGGGGGGGCAGTATGGAAATGTATGCACTCACTAACTGTAAGTCGCTCTGGATAAGAGCGTCTGCTAAATGACTAAAATGTAATGTAAATGTAAAGAACTTCCCTACCAATCTCTTGTTTTAAAGCTACTTTAGATAAAAACAGAGACCTAGTTTAAACTCAAATCCAACTATTGAACCTCCTGGTGAAGAGAAGACTATAATGGGCTAACACAGAAGGAAACTGTTGGCCTAATAACACTGTAAATACTGACATGTCATTGATACCTGATGCATCTCTCAACTTCAGCTTAGAACCAGAAGACGGCATTGTGTATGGAGCATTGCCTTCTGCCAAGTTCAATTGCTTATTTATTTTTAAAGCAAGAGGTGAGTAGTTACTGTTCTTGCACCCCAGATACAGTGCCTTCAGAAAGTATTCATATCCCTTGACTTATTCCACATTTTGTTGTGTTACAGCCTGAATTCAAAATGGATGAAATGAAATTGATTACATTTATGTTTTTTTCTCACCCATCTACACACAATACCCCATAATGACAACGTGAAAATATGTTTTTAGACATGTTGGCTAATTTATTGAAAATGAAATACAGAAATACACTTCATTGCCAAAAGTATATGGACACCTGCTCGTCGACAATCGAATTCCAAAATCATTGGCATTAATATGGAGTTGGTCCCCTCTTTGCTGCTATAACAACCTCCACTCTTCTGGGAAGGCTTTCTCCTAGATGTTGGAACATTGCTGCGGGGATTTGCTTCCATTCAGCAACGAGAGCATTAGTGAGGTCGGGCACTGATGTTGGGCGATTAGGCCTGGCTCGCAGTCGGCATTCCAATTCATCCCAAAGGTGTCCGATAGGGTTGAGGTCAGGGCTCTGTGCAAGCCAGTCAAGTTCTTCCACAAGAATCTCGACAAACCATTTCTGTATGGACCTCGCTTTGCACAGGGGCATTGTAATGCTGAAACAGGAAAAGGCCTTCCCCAAACTGTTGCCACAAAGTTGGAAGCACAGAATCGTCTAGAATTTCATTGTATGCTGTAGCGTTAAGATTTCCCTTCATTGGAACAAAGGAGCCTGAACCATGAAAAACAGCCCCAGACCATTATTCCTTCTTTACAGTTGGCACTATGCATTCGGGCAGGTAGCGTTCTTCTGGCATCCGCCAAACCCAGATTTGTCCATCAGACTGCCAGATGGTGAACCGTGATTCATCATTCCAGAGAACGCGTTTCCACTGCTCCAGAGTCCAATGGCGGCAAGCTTTACATCACTCCAGCCGACGCTTGGCATTGCACATGGTGATCTTAGGCTTGTGTGCGGCTGCTCGGCCATGGAAACCCATTTCATGAAGCTCCTGACGAACAGTTCTTGTGCTGACGTTGCTTGCAGTTTGGAACTCGGTAGTCAGTGTTGCAACCGAGGACAGACGATTTTTACGTGTTACGCACTTCAGCAGTTGGTGGTCCTGTTCTGTGAGCTTGTGTGGCCTACCACTTTGCGGCTGAGCCGTTGTTGCTCCTAGACGTTTCCACTTCACAATAACAGCACTTACAGTTGACCGGGGCAGCTCTAGCAGGGCAGAAATGTGATGAACTGACTTGTTGGAAAGGTGGCATCCTATGACGGTACCACGTTGAAAGTCACTGATCTCTTCAGTAAGGGCCATTCTACAGCCAATGTTTGTCTATGGAGATTGCATGGTTGTGTGCTCGATTTAATACACCTGTCATTAACGGGTGTGGCTGAAATAGCCGAATCCACTAATTTGAAGGGGTGTCCACATACTTTTGGCCATGTAGTGTATCTCATTTACATACGTATTCTATTCACACCCCTGAGTCAATACATGTTATAATCACCTTTGGCAGCCATTACAGCTGTGAGTCTTTCTGGGTAAGTCTCTAAAAGGTTTGGACACCTGGATTGTACAATATTTGCACATTATTCTTTTTTTAATTCTTCAAGCTCGGTCATGTAGGTTGTTGATTATTGCTAGACAGCCATTTTTAAGTCTTGCTATAGATTTTCAAGCCGATTTATTTGAAAACTGTAACTATTCCACTCAGCAACTTTCAATGTGGTCTTGGTAAGCAACTCCAGTGTATATTTGGCCTTGTGTTTTAGGTTATTGTTCTGCTGAAAGGGGAATTTGTCTCCCAGTGTCTGTTGGAAAGCAGACAGAACGTTTCTTTAAATCCTAAATAACTCCCCAGTCCTTGCCGATGACGAGCATACCCATAACATGATACAGCCACCACCATGCTTGAAAATATGAAGAGTGGTACTCAGTGATATGTTGTGTTGGATTTGCCCCAAACATTAAGCTTTACATTCAGGACAAAAAGTTCATATATTTGCCAATTTCCTTTGCAGTATTACTTCAGTGCCTTATTGCAAACAGGATGCATGTTTTGGAGTATTTTTATTCTGTACAGGCTTCTTTCTTTTGACTGTCATTTAGGTTAGTATTGTGGAGTAAATACAATGTTGTTGATCCATCCTCAGTTTTCTCCTATCACAGTCATTAAACTCTGTAACTGTTTTAAAGTCACCATTGGCCTCATGGTGAAATCCCTGAGCGGTTTCCTTCCTCTCTGGCAACTGAGTTAGGAAGGATGGCTGTTTTTTTTGTAGTGACTGAGTGTATTGATACATCATCCAAAGTATAATTAATAACTTCACCATGCTTAAAGGGATATTCAATATCTGCTTTTTCTTTTTTTAATCTACCAATAGGTGCCCTTCTTTGTCTCCCTGGTCTTTGTGGTTGAATCTGTGTTTGAATTTCACTGCTCGACTGAGGGATCTTACAGATAATTGTATGTGTGGGGTACTGAGATGAGGTAGTCATTAAAAAATAATGTTAAACAATATTATTGCACACAGAATGAGTCCATGCAACTTATTATGTGACTTGTTAAGCTCATTTTTACTTATTTAGGCTTGCCATAATGAAGGTGTTGAATACTTATTGACTCAAGATATTTCATCTTTTCATTTTTAATACATTTGTAAAACTTTCTAAAAACATAATTCCACTTTGACATTATGGGGTATTGTGTGTAGGCCAGTGACACAAAATCTCTATTTAATCCATTTTAAATTCAGGCTGTAACACAACAAAATGTAAAAAGTCAAGGGTTGTAAATCATTTCTGAAGGTACTGTAAATATCATACACTAAGCTCTGACAGCTAATTTAGTTGACTATGACAAAACTAATAAGGATGATTCACCTACATTTCATTCAGAATACAGAACAACTTTGTCTTTAGTAGCCTAATTGTTACTCTGCCAGAGAGTTGGCTTTGCTGCATCTGTGTTGTGTTCTGCAGGAGCAGCAGGAGACACAAGGATTAATGGCTGTTAATTGCTGCTTTTCATCAACAAAGCCTCAACTCACTCTTTGGCTGCAGTCCTACCAACTGGATTGTGGATCAGCCATTTCACATGTGTCAATATTTGACCAATTCCTTCAGCGGTCACTGCATCTCATTGGTTTAGTTAAAAATATGGACAATAACTACTACAATATGTTTATCATTAACCACCAAAACCTCATACCAACAGGGGAAAGTATGCCATTTTTGATGCCTTAAACATGACCATTTCTATCCCCACATTTACTATTAGTGAGGGGTGTAGACAGGTGAGACAGGGGTTATGGTTTACAAGATGTTACATCTGCACATTAGATTTTTTGTAAACTAAGGTAGATGTCCTGTCTCCATTATTGTAAATGAATGTTGTTAATATGACCAGATAGTAATTGGTTCCTGTAATTGATCCTAATAAGCTTTTGTTGCTGCTGGCCCTGATTACTCTGATGTTTGACCTTTTGAGTTTCTCTGGTAGTCTTCTAATGTTGACCCTATTGTCTGCAAACTTTTAGTGGATTGGTACCTGTTGTATTTGGTTTTTCATAATTGTTGTATTGATCAGCATCTCTATTTGTCCCTTGTTATTGTCCCTGTCAATTAACTTGTGTCATTGGCCCTTGCTTTTTGCCCTGTGAGATGACTACTTAGCATTTGATGACGCATGTTGCAGGCCATGATGTAACCCGGTGGTAGGGAAATGATTACAGGGAGTCTAAGTAGCAGGAAAGGAAGCATAATTGGGTTACCATGATCCTATGGGAAAAGCTGACAAAATCCTGCCCCTGAACCCTCACATAGCTATTTATACCTAGGGCTCATGACACATCTACTGCTCATTGTTGTACATACTGTATTGAGACAAATGCTGCTGATATGTCAACATTCATAACTGTTGCCACTTCTACAGACAGTCATATAACCCTGGTTTCATAACCTATGAAGACAATATAGGGCTCTACTAATCCTCTCAGAGCCAAACATTAACACTAATCTGATTCCCTGCTAAGTAGTGTTCCAGGTTTTCCACTTTACAGACTTTTCTCAGAGTCAAAATGTCTATTGAAGTCGGTAATATAGACTCACAACTTCCCTTCTAGTAGTTATGAATTAACACGTTCCATTTCAGTGGAACTTAAAAAACAATGCTCAGCTATCAACCTTCTGGTTGCTGAGAAACATTGAATGACCCCATACACCCCATACTATAGTATCGACTGTCATGTTTCAATCAAGGGAAATGCTATTGCCTTTTATTATGGTGTTTATTTTTAACACCTCTGACCCCACAAGCCCTACGATTACTTCTCTCAGTCTTGAGGTAACAGCAGCAGTCACTCTTGGACTTAACTGATTTAATGTAAGCTACTTTCAGTGTGACATGCTTATCTGTTTACATCCAGGCTGTGTTACAGTGACATGCCAATTCACATTTATGTTGAATGTACAGTAAATGTGCAAAGGCAGAACACCAATGCAATATATAACAGATTACTGTTAAGCTCGTCATATATAACTGAGACTTAGGCTAGATATCAGAATCAATGCTAGAGTCCTGATTGAGTAGGCCTAATAGGTTTAGCCTGTTTTTGAATGCACCATTTCAGCATTGGCAAGTTTCCACAAATCTGGAAGTGTTACACAATGGGAAAAGCCCATTACATTGATCAAAATTCTGATCATTTCAGACATTTTGACAGGTTTAGCCTGTTTTTGAATGCACCATTTCAGCATTGGCAAGTTTCCACAAATCTGGAAGGGTTAAACAATGGGAAAAGCCCATTACATTGATCAAAACTATCTCTTTAGCTATATCACAATGTTCCAGAATGACCTTGAGCAACGAGCTCCATCGATCAAGTTACCATATCAAAGTAATGAAGAATTCACAACAACTAAGCTAACTTCGCCAGCGAATATTCAGTCTCAAATAATTCCAACTGTTGTCATCAGTGTAACCTACTAATGTCCATCTTATCTAATGCTTAAGCTCATACAGAGGTTGGTATGGCTGATGCTTAAGCTCATACAGGTTGGTATGGCTGCTTATTGCAAAACCTCAAAAAAAAATTACATGATGTAAACTTCAACTATTTATAGCTTTCATTGCTGTGCAATTTCCAACACAATGCCCCCTAACTTTGACAAGAACAAAAACTGTTTGACTCTATCTCTCCAAGAACAGGGCACATAGTTGCATACTATCCAACCAATATCTTTCTTTCAGTTCTTTAAGAAGATGATGCTTATCCTGATTGCTTGCAGCAGACACTGCTATGGTCTATGACTAACAGACCATAAGCCAGTTAAGGGTCCCATTCTACTTTTCTGAACTTTCAGAAGAGGCCCCACAAGCACAACAGCTCCTTACCAAGCAGCAGAAGCTTGACTGTCTTGGATTCTTTGTCTGCATCCTCCGCCAGCTGCTTTTCAAGCTCCTTGGACTTTGCGGCTAATGCCTTGTCTTCGACACTTCCTCCAGCTCCCATTTTGAACTTTGGGTCTTTCTCACTCCTTCAAGTCAAGATCCTGTGTGGTATGGAAATGCGGCCGTCCGCTCCCGCCGTCTGAGGGGTGCACTGGGAGACAGGCACAGAGGGAGGCAGAGGTGGGGGCTGGGAACAAGGGGTCCTGGCCTCAGTCAGGGGTTGGTGGATGGAGGAAGAGGACTCTGGAGATGTATACTGGCACACAGTCGGACAATCACTGCTTGGGGACTAAGGGAAGCTGTCTTCTCTCTGGTGTTAGCCCTCCCCTATTCCCCTACGTTAAACCTGACATCTTGAAATCAGGTTGGGATTGGGCAGGGCTTTTTCTGGCGTTCCCATGGGAACCATTAAATCCAATTAGGATGAAGCAGAGGGCAAAAGGGAAGGGTAAAAAAAGCAAACGCCATAGTGTTTAGAAAGAGATGGGTGGATTAGAAATAGAGAAGGTCTGTTTTTTTATAGATCAATGGTCTGGATGTTCAAAGTTTACTTTCTTTTCCTCTTGCAGTTTACCTTTCCAGGTTCTGTCAAGTATGGCTCAAAAAGAGATGGTGTCAGGTGTGATAATGTTCTTGTTCTTCTTGTTCTCATTTAGAATAAACTTATAGCCACAGAAAAAAATGATATGATGTGCTCTGTCCTGTTTATGCGGTAGGGATTTGTAAATAATTTTGAGATTTTACCTGACTTTAAGTGACAATTGGCCAACAAATCTGAGCCATGGAAATACACTATTTGTCACTAAGACATTTCTACAGCGTAAGACCTTGGCTTTGTGTCTTTACTGGTGAAGGATGGAGCGCTTAACAGGCATCAGGTCTCGTTTTCTGGCACGGGCTGAGGCATCGGTTGAGGATAGAAGCCTCGTGAGTTCTGCCACTTACAATAAATCATATGTTAGTGGTTTACTCCACTGGCCTTTTACACTCAGATGAGGAGAGAGACAATGTGAACAGACAGAGATTGCACACATCTCAGACTACTGTGTCATGGGCCAGCACAAAGATTGACTGTACTCAGCAGTTTTCTAATAACAATCAACTTTTTCCCAGATAAGAATGTTGACAGGGTGCCTTCTGTGCTTCCATGTGCCTAATTGAAAATATCTGCTATTTATAGATGTATTTTGCAGGAGTTTTCATCACCAAGGACTTTGCATGTAGTGAACTACAAGGTGGACTACCTCTGCGTCAAAAACAATAGAGCCATGAACAGTTAGCTACAGTGGGGAAAAAAAGTATTTAGTCAGCCACCAATTGTGCAAGTTCTCCCACTTAAAAAGATGAGAGAGGCCTGTAATTTTCATCATAGGTACACGTCAACTATGACAGACAAAATGAGGAAAAAACCCCAGAAAATCACATTGTAGGATTTTTAATGAATTTATTTGCAAATTATGGTGGAAAATAAGTATTTGGTCACCTACAAACAAGCAAGATTTCTGTCTCTCACAGACCTGTAACTTCTTCTTTAAGAGGCTCCTCTGTCCTCCACTCGTTACCTGTATTAATGGCACCTGTTTGAACTTGTTATCAGTATAAAAGACACCTGTCCACAACCTCAAACAGTCACACTCCAAACTCCACTATGGCCAAGACCAAAGAGCTGTCAAAGGACACCAGAAACAAAATTGTAGACCTGCACCAGGCTGGGAAGACTGAATCTGCAATAGGTAAGCAGCTTGGTTTGAAGAAATCAACTGTGGGAGCAATTATTAGGAAATGGAAGACATACAAGACCACTGATAATCTCCCTCGATCTGGGGCTCCACGCAAGATCTCACCCCGTGGGGTCAAAATGATCACAAGAACGGTGAGCAAAAATCCCAGAACCACACGGGGGGACCTAGTGAATGACCTGCAGAGAGCTGGGACCAAAGTAACAAAGCCTACCATCAGTAACACACTACGCCGCCAGGGACTCAAATCCTGCAGTGCCAGACGTGTCCCCCTGCTTAAGCCAGTACATGTCCAGGCCCGTCTGAAGTTTGCTAGAGTGCATTTGGATGATCCAGAAGAGGATTGGGAGAATGTCATATGGTCAGATGAAACCAAAATAGAACTTTTTGGTAAAAACTCAACTCGTCGTGTTTGGAGGACAAAGAATGCTGAGTTGCATCCAAAGAACACCATACCTACTGTGAAGCATGGGGGTGGAAACACCATGCTTTGGGGCTGTTTTTCTGCAAAGGGACCAGGACGACTGATCCGTGTAAAGGAAAGAATGAATGGGGCCATGTATCGTGAGATTTTGAGTGAAAACCTCCTTCCATCAGCAAGGGCATTGAAGATGAAACGTGGCTGGGTCTTTCAGCATGACAATGATCCCAAACACACCGCCCGGGCAACGAAGGAGTGGCTTCGTAAGAAGCATTTCAATGTCCTGGAGTGGCCTAGCCAGTCTCCAGATCTCAACCCCATAGAAAATCTTTGGAGGGAGTTGAAAGTCCGTGTTGCCCAGCGACAGCCCCAAAACATCACTGCTCTAGAGGAGATCTGCATGGAGGAATGGGCCAAAATACCAGCAACAGTGTGTGAAAACCTTGTGAAGACTTACAGAAAACGTTTGACCTGTTTCATTGCCAACAATGGGTATATAACAAAGTATTGAGAAACTTTTGTTATTGACCAAATACTTATTTTCCACCATAATTTGCAAATAAATTCATTAAAAATCCTACAATGTGATTTTCTGGTTTTTCTTTCCTCATTTTGTCTGTCATAGTTAACGTGTACCTATGATGAAAATTACAGGCCTCTCTCATCTTTTTAAGTGGGAGGACTTGCACAATTGGTGGCTGACTAAATACTTTTTTTCCCCACTGTAAATGTTTGACCAGGCTTGGTTGTAACAAAGTAACAAAGGTAATTCTACTGTAAAAATGTTTCATGCACCTGATCTAGCTTTGAATGATATATGTGAACCAAGGTTATTATGGTTTTGTGTTTTTATATTAGTTTGTATTTATTTTATTTATTTCTCGTGTTGTATTAAGACAGTACGCATATTTTCCCTGTTTTTTTTGTCCGGCCTCAAATTAAATCAAGTTGAGGAGGAAACCAACACATTTGAAGCCTGAATGGAGGATATTTTATCTACGAACAGGTCGCCGGGGGACACAACAGTATCACCCGCCGGGGGACACCATAGACATGAAAACCAGTAGATAGTGATAGCGCTGTCATCATCCACATACACTACCAGTCAAAAGTTTGGACGCACCTACTCATTCAAGGGTTTTTCTTTATTTTTACTATTTTCTACATTGTAGAATTATAGTGAAGACATCAAAACTATGAAATAACACAAAAAAGTGTTAAACAAACGAAAATATATTTTACCGGGCATGATGACACCTTGCTGTCCCCAGTCCGCCTGGCCTTGCTGCTATTCCAGTTTCAACTGTTCTGCCTGCGGCTACGAAACCCCTACCTGTCCCAGACCTGCTGTTTTCAACTCTTAATGATCGGCTATGAAAAGCCAACTGAGAGACCTGAGCCCTAGGACCATACGTCGGGACTACCGGCCGTGGTGACTCCTTGCTGTCCCCAGTCCGCCTGGCCTTGCTGCTATTCCAGTTTCAACTGTTCTGCCTGCGGTTATGGAACCCCTACCTGTCCCAGACCTGCTGTTTTCAACTCTTAATGATCGGCTATGAAAAGCCAACTGAGATTTATTCCTGATTATTATTTGACCATACTTGTCACTTATGAACATTTTTGAACATCTTGGCATGGTTCTGTTATAATCTCCACCCGGCACAGCCAGAAGAGGACTGGCCACCCCTCATAGCCTGGTTCCTCTCTAGGTTTCTTCCTAGGTTTTCGCCTTTCTAGGGAGTTTTTCCTAGCCACCGTGCTTCTACACCTGCATTACTAGCTGTTTGGGGTTTTAGGCTGGGTTTCTGTACAGCACTTCGAGATATTAGCTGATGTAAGAAGGGCTATATAAAATAAAATTGATTGATTGATTGATTTGAGATTATTCAAATAGCTACCCTTTGCCTTGATGACAGCTTTGTACACTCTTGGCATTCTCTCAACCAGCTTCACCTGGAATGATTTTCCAACAGTCTTGAAGGAGTTCCCACATATGCTGACCACTTGTAGGCTGCTTTTCCTTCACTCTGCAGTCCGACTCTTCCCAAACCATCTCAATTGGGTTGAGGTCAGGGGATTGTGGAGGCCAGGTCATCTGATGCAGCACTCCATCACTCTCCTTCTTGGTAAAATAGCCCTTACACAGCCTGGAGGTGTGTTGGGTCATTGTCCTGTTGAAAAACAAATGAGAGTCCCACTAAGCCCAAGCCAGATGGGATGGCGTATCGCTGTAGAATGCTGTGGTAGCCATGCTGTTAAGTGTGCCTTGAATTCTAAATAAATCACAGACAGTGTCACCAGCAAAGCACCCCCACACCATAACACCTCCTCCTCCATGCTTTAAGGTGGGAAATACACATGTGGAGATCATCCGTTCACCCACACCACGTCTCACAAAGACACGGCGGTGGAACCAAAATCTCCTATTTGTACTCCAGACCAAAGGACATATTTCCACCTGTCTAATGTCCATTGCTCGTGTTTCTTGGCCCAAGCAGGTCTTTTCTTCTTATTGGTGTCCTTTAGTAGTGGTTTCTTTGCAGCAATTCGACCATGAAGGCCTGATTCACACAGTCCCCTCTGAACAGTTGATATTGAGATGTGTCTGTTACTTGAACTCTGTGAAGCATTTATTTAGGCTGCAATTTCTGAGGCTGGTAACTCTAATGAATTTATCCTCTGCAGCAGAGGTAACTCTGGGTCTTCCATTCCTGTGGTGGTCCTCATGAGTGCCAGTTTCATCATAGCGCTTGATGGTTTTTGCAACTGCACTTGAAGAAACTTTCAAAGTTCTTGAAATTTTCCGTATAGACTGACCTTCATGTCTTAAAGTAATGATGGACTGTCGTTTCTCTTTGCTTATTTGAGTTGTTCTTGCCATAATATGGACTTGGTCTTTTA